ATTCAGCGCTGCATAGGTACACAGAAACGGCAGATGGAGAAATTGACCAACCATAATCATCAAAATGAAAATCGCGTTTGTGTACAGGTATTTTATTTGTGATTAAAAACCTTTGCACAGCGCGTAATTTCGTATTTTTATTTTTATTTTATGGTCACCCTATTTTACACACGAGTTTTTATAATCTAATTTATTTATATTTTCTAGAACACGGCCAACGCCCACACGTGTCTCTGGAGTGAATGAGGGTGTCTCTTTTAAATTTATTTCTCTCTCCGCGGAAAACTCAACAAATATTATCGTATAACTTATTTCGCCGGCGAAAAATACAAATATAACCTCGCGCGCGCGTGAGAAGAATATTTTATACGATATGTGTAGTAGGTACCCACTACACATTTTAGGTTCCGAGCGTAGCGAGAGAGCTATTGGTTGTATAATGCTGTTTATTTTTTTTTCTTTGTTTTTTGTTTTAGACTGTGGACACGTTTTTTCCTAGTAAACTTGCTCCGATTTTTACTTGTAGCAACTTTTCTGAAAACACAAGTTATTCTAGACGTAGGAGCTCCATACGCAAAGACTTGAAACTTGGTAATAATATTTATATTGGACTTACCTAGACGTGGTAAAATTTCCAAAATCACCGGACGACTTTCTGTTTGTTTAATAAGTGTTTTGAAATCAAATTTAAACGAAAATCGCAAAAACAAAAATTTTAAATTATGTATTACCGAACTACTTTCGGAATCGTCTTTCGTCAGCAATGGTTTATCGTCGCTTACAGATATAAATGAAATAACCTTATGTATCCTACCTTCCCAACTTCTCGCCTACAACAATGGCCGCTCCCATATCCAGTATCAGCTCTTTTTTTTTTTTTTTTAATAAAGTGGAATTATATGCTACTCGAAACATCGGTCCGAGGTCACGGATTTGTTGTTTTTTTTTTTTTTTTCGTCTGTTCGCGTTACGAACTAATTACCACGTCACACCACTCGCGCGGTCTTACTGCAATACCGTACACTGTGTATGGGCGTGCGTCTTTCGTCACTCGGAACGTTGAATTACGTCGTGGACCATGAGTCCAGAGACGATATTCGGAAAATGTCGTACAAAAAGCCGTTAAATCAATTTCAATATTCGTATAGTTCCGTTCAAAATAAAAAAAAAAAAAAACACGGAAAGTCGGAACACTCCCGGGGGAGATCGTTCGCGTTCACTCAGTGTCAAAAGGGTGCAGACGGTTATTGGATTAATCGTGTACGAGACGCCGTGTGTGCACCGCGCAGACTCGACGATAACGGCGAGCAAACGGCAAAAACACCCCGTATTACGCACCGAGCACCATGATATTGTTGTTTACTATTGCGTGACGCGCGTGTACCGCGATGACCCACTGGCTCACATCCGCGACAATAACGAAAACGGGCGAGCGCGCGCCCTCTTCTCCCCCGGCGAGGTCGCCGACTCGACGGCCGTTCACAACGCGTCCGATGACGTCGGGCGACCGGCGCGACCGGGTAACAATCATAAATCGACGACCGTACACAATATTGTCTGTCGCGTCCGCGAGCGGTCGCAAAACCGAAGCCCATCGCCATGTACGTCTCGACGCGTCTGACACTGCTGCCTGTGAGTACCTCTATACCTAAAAAGTTATTATGCAAATTCGGAAAAAAAAAAAACGAAACGAAACGATTTACGACGGTACAGAACGTACCTGGTTCGATATTTTTTTTTTTTTTTCTCCCGTCGTTTTGTTGACCGGCGATCAAAACCATAATACACTGCGTACTTGCCGTGTGACGCGAACCGCGCGTCAATGTTTTTCTACGCCCGAGCTATACTAAACAAATCGATTTCGTCAAAAAAAATAATACAATTATGTTCCCGTTTTCGGTTTTGTCGGTTTTTTCCCGAGCACGTACGAAAAACATCACCTCGTCGGCGCACCGACTCCTTCGGTAAATCTCTCGCGCACGCGTTCGCATAAGGCACAACGAAATTGTGTTTGATATCAACCGCTCGTTTATTTTTCGGTAAATCGAGTGCCGTTAAATCGTGCGTGTCGACGTCGTAAGTCAATACGCATTATATTAATAATCCGCATTGACGTGTTGTTACGTTTGCAAACGTTTTCGACGGTTTACTCGACATGTCCTCGGCGTAGCCGGTTTTATTTCGGGATTATAATGTAATACGGTATTACAATAATTGTGTTCGCTGTTGCCCCTTCGGGGATTTTTCGTCACAGAACTGTGTAAACTGCAATATCGAACTAGAATTTAAATCACATTTAGCCTGAATCAGGACTAAACGGTTTTAGTGCGAAGAGCGTAAATCTCCGGTCGCATCTCCGGATTTGTATAAATCTGCGGTAACAACTTCGATCGACTGCGTAATATACAATATTATTTTAGGTGTACCGTAACAATCGTTCTGTTCCGTTCACTCGTCCTCCGCTCTCGCAACCGCGTATTTTTCTTTGGCGGATTTCGAAGTTTATCGAAAAAAATTATGTTGATTTGTAATTATAATGTTTGTGAAAATTGTAATTTTAAATCGTTACAATACCGGGCACAAACAGTAATAACAACACGTTAGTTAAATGGCATAATCGTAACATACAGGTATGCATATGTATGTATACAGGTGTGTTATAACGATGTGTAAAAGTATAATCGTTATTTCGAAAAATGGCGTGCGTTATGATTTTTTTTTTTTTTTGTAATCTAATACATAGTTTTTGTGCGATTGACCGATAAACGTTGTTATCATACTCTTCATAACATTTCAGTTATCAATGTTTTTCTCGTCGAACCAAACCGATTTATTTTTGATTTGAAATGAAGACTTGAACGAACGAAAGGCTCTTGTTATCACTTAACAAATTAAAATTACTAATTATTAATTTCAATCCATATATATTATGTACGCAATATAGTATAATACGCACCAAATATATTATTTTTCTAAAAATGTTTTATTTTTATCTTTTTCTTTTTGTTGTGACCCAGCAAAGTTAAAAAGCTAATTTGATTTTATCTGTAAACTTGGCTTGTAAATTTAAATGTATTTCGTTAACTAACTAATTTAACTATAGTAATTTTAGTTGTCACTGTAAATACATAATTTGTTTTAAATTAAAGGGTTGAAAATGTGCGAATAATTGTGTTAATGAAATAAAAATTATTTTTAACCGAGTTAAATCAACATTTGTTTGCATTTGTAACTTTCAACTAAAGCCTTTTTTATAAGCATATACAATTTTATTTGGTGTTATTTAATTGACTAATTTCACTAATTGTCCTTTTATGACAAACATATTTTTGATTATAACATTATTATTTATTCCGCGCAAAGAGAAATCGACGACGTCACCTGAAACGATCGACGAAATTGGAGTGAATTGCACACGCAGGGATGGAAAAAAATCGATATTTCTAAGAAAACTATCGATATTTTACATTATATATTTTAATGACATCGATAGTTTTTGACGAGTATCGATATTTTTTCATCCAATATTTTGTTTCTGCCTTTTCGGTATCTGTAGTCTATCAGTGTATCACAATTTGTATGCAACTCACCCTGAGTTTTAACTGAAAAAAGTAAAACCTATTGTGAATATTTTTATGATGTGACATGTGATCACAGGGTTCAATTCATTTTAGATGTAGATAGAAATTTGTAGACAAGCCTAACTTACAATTTCGAATGTGTAGACAACAGCTCAAACCAGAAAATTATTCGCATTGTATATATCAAAAAAATTTAACTTAAAAACGCATATAAAATACAAATAGAAGTGTTGGGAATATCAAAAAATTATTTAGTTAATTTACCTAATAAGTTCAACCCCTAAATAGATTTAAAACCCTAACGAATGAGAAATCAAGTCACGTAACATGATATGTATTATTGAACGTGCGAAAGATATCAAGTCGTACAAATGGAATATTGTATTCGTGTATCGAGTCAACAAAAAGTATGTGTAATTCATGTATACAAAAAATATAATATTTTAAATGGGTTTTTTTTTTTTATTAACCTACGAAAAATAACCGTTTTTATTGTCTCCTGAAAATTGGTCGTTTTGGACTTGGTCCCTTTTACACAAAAACTATCAATTTTATCAGTTTGAATTCTGCCGGTTTTTGCTTCCTAGTCAATTATCTGTTCTCCATTCAGTTTATGTTCTTCCGGTTTTTTAACTACCGCGGGCGTTCTAGTGGAAAATAAACGATTTGTCTACACTTGACGCCTACATTTTCAGAAACGACCAAAAGTTCTATGCACTTATTCACCAGCCGATTTACGAAAAGCTTTAAAGTATTTGTTGGTTTCTAACGATTATAATTCAATATAGTTTCTAAAATCGTAATAATTAATTACAATTTTTCAAATAATATATTTTTTTAAACGTTTCAAATTTCAACAGTTTTTACCGAGTTGCGCACGCGCAGGTGTCCAAAAATCAGTGAAATCCGCGTGGATTCAATGGTGGCCAAAGTCTGAGAAAAAAAAGAATGGTCTTTTTCGATGGCAGGCACGCGGAGAAAAACACTATAATATTTATAGACACTGCGTTTACGATCGAACGACAACCGTTAGGGCCGTCTTTTTGAGGGCCCGCGACAATCTTTCGAGCAATTTCTGAATAATTTATTCTGAAGTTTGTATACCTACTTCAAAATATATTTCTTTATATATATATTCAACAAACATCATCACTCTCTTGACGTCAGATACACGCACTCTTGCAGCAGCATCAGCTCCTGACACCATGGCAACAACTCCTCCGCCGCTGCCGCCGCCGAACGATCCTAAAACGTCATTTGGTCCTAGCTATATTATTATAACTGCAGATACCCGCAACTCGTATTGATCCAATTTACATAATAATAATAATTATTATTATTATTAATTTTATTATTATTATTATTATTATTTTCAACAATGCAAAGCTTTTTTATTATAATTATGCATTAATATTCCGAATGAATGACGACTACATTCCATCGTCGTCGCGGTTTGCAGTCGATTCCTACCGGTCCTATCGTCACGCTATGTTCGTCTATGACCCAACAATTGTGTTTCTTAAAACTAACAAGTTAGCCGTGAAAAAATTAAAAATCATAACGTTCAAAATTGTGTGTTAGTATATCGGAATAATACGAATAGTCGTGTATCGGCCGATATTCTTCGTCTTTTTCATCTTGGAGTTTCTATCCGTTTCAAATGCCATAATAATTTATAATACATAATTTTTCGCTGTCGAATGACGAACGAAATAGTTCACTTAATGTTGCGCCAAACCAATCGTGGAGGTTTTTCAACCACAATGTATATACACTTCTTCTTCCAACACGTGTTTTCCCTTGAAATATAAGTTGCAGTAATCTACATCTTTGGTTATTTCTCATTATGTGACCCAGATATTTATGTTCACGAGATTTTATATTTGTCAGTAATTCTCAATCGTATTCTTTGAAGTTCACTTAAGTTAGATATATACAATCTTCCCCCGAGATATTTAGAATTCAACGATACATTCACAGAAAGCCGCGATTTTCCTGTTTGATGTTTCTGTTAACGTTCAAGTTTCATTTCCGTATAATAAGTTAGGAAATATATAAAACATCTTTGCAGTCTAATTTTCATATCAAATAAAATATCGTGGCATTTAAATATCTTAAATATTCTATTTATTGAATATCCCCAATCTTCATTAAGCAGTGTACCTAGATCGTTGTACTTTTGAACTTTTTCTACTTGCTAACCCCTAATAAGTAACTATTATTTTACAGTTTGTTTCTTTGACAATTTTTAAATTCTAAGTGAAGTGAGGAACGTATTGGTTTTACAATAATGTGTCTTATTATTATTATTTTTTTTTTTATGTGGACAACTTTTCTATCAGAAATTTTTCTCCGATTTACAATGATAGCACTTTTTCTGACTAGAGAGATACTTTAAGATGGCAATTTTTTTTATTTTCCCTGGATTTTTACCAATAAATATGAAAAACCGGGAAAAATGTAGGAAAAACAACAAAATAGGTACAATATTAAACAAATATCATTAGGTAAAAAAAAATTTTAGTGCATATATAATTATTTTATCATAATATGGCATATATATTGTTGACAAAGTAACATTATCAACCGAACTCCGCTCAGAATATTTCTTGCGTTAGCAATAGGTTATCGTTGCGTGCAGATATACATTAAATTCCCGTCTATATCCTACCTTCCTAAATTTCCACCTACAACAGTGGCTGCACCCATCTTCATTATCCTAGGACAGCTTTATAATATTGAAAATATCAAAATATTGGATATCAGAAGAAATATCTGGAAATATTTACATACAATATCACATTGATAATAAATCACTGGAAATATTTGAATATAAAAATTGAAATATCTACTCATGGTTTTTATTTCAAAATTTCAGATGGATTATTGGTAGGAATTATCGAAGTATCGGGAAAAAGAAAAAAAAATACATCGGCTTACTGTAATTCAAAATAAATGAAAAATGTCACATTGTCCGAAAATTGGGATCAATACCACAATTCGGAGACTTGATGTGTACATTCTGCATAATATTACTCAAAACGTTACTTCAAAAATAAACAAAACACCAAAATGAATAACATACGAGTTTTTGCTTTAGAGCTCGTCAAGAAAATTGATTTTTATTCTCACAGCAGATTCGATTATTTGCGATTCGCAGTCCGACTGTAGTTAAACCTCTAGCCTAAACGATTTTTCTTTTTAAAAACGCTATTAAACTGTTAACAGTTTTGAACACCTCTTGAACATAGATTATCGAATAAAACATCTTATATTTATTTTATTTTTTTTTTTATGTTTACAGGCACTGGTCGTGATGGCCATCCTCCAAATTTCCGAGGTCAGCGGTGGCCTGATTTCACTCATCCAGAACAATGCGCTCGGCCGGCCCGATTACTACAAGACACAGTCGTGGCCGTTCGACCCAGACGTGTCCGCCCGTCGGGCGCCCGAGTTCATCGCGTTACACGGCAACAAGTCGGAAAAATTAATCGAACGCATCGGGCTGGGTGTGAACGGCCGGCAATACGAGCACCGGGAACAGCAGCTAGTCAGAGACTTTATGTTCGACAAACAGCAACAGCAGCAACAGCAACAGAGTTCACAAAACTTTGTGGGTGCAAACGATTATAATTACCAGCAGCTCCAGCAGCAGTCAAATTTCCTAAGAATCCCGATCCCTCAATCCTAAACACGAATAGTGATTGGTCGGTCTTTATTATTCTTATCGTCTTTAAATGTACATAAAAATGTATTAATACTTACCTATATACTGTACGATGGTCGATTTTTTTTTTTTTTTTGTAAATATTCACTTCACATCGACTCCATGTGACTCCTCGACTCAATGTTTACTGTTTTCAGTTATTTATCTTATTTATCGTGGATATACACAGCAGTGAAAGCGAAATCTTTGTCCCATGGGTGACCCCAAAAAACCTTCTTAAAAAATTACTCAATGGGGCGTTGACTACTCGGCCCGGTTCTATTTGAATAAGTCAATTTATTTTCCAACCATTATAATTGTATGGCAACTCGTACCTATTTGTTCTGACAATTTCAGCTTTTTTTTCCCAAAAATGTTCCCGGTAAAAATCGAATTTCCTTTGACGGACCGGGGAAAAGTTTCCTCCGCAACAAATAGTGTAGGAAAAAAAATTAGGAAATTAAAACACGGCTCAGGGAAACTTATCTTAATTGTTATAAAGTACGATTATTTACTAGTGTTTTAATCCGTCCTAATCTTAACTCACGAACGGTACATTTTTAGTGGTACCTAATTGTTTTTTTTTTCCATGCATCCTCCGTTATCTATACTAATTATATGTACATCTTACATACTACCAAAAATTTCTTTAATTTTACTGTAAACTAGAAACGTTTAATTATACGTTTTAATAATATGTTTTAATTATTTTATACAAAATATTTTATGTTAATAATATCTTTTTTTTTATTATTATTGTATTATATTATGTTCGAAAATGTAACACTTCGCCAAATTGTTATTAAATTATTGTTTTACGTACGTGTTTGTCATCAACAATCTTTTCGTTTATTATTGTTAGTGAATAGGTAATTTGATTAAGTAAAATATTCAAATTTGTTACTGCAAGTTATGTTATAAACAATTTCAGTAGAATCTTCGGAAAGTGGTTTTTTTTTTTAATGCTGGAGTATTATAATGTAGAGTAATTTAATGCTTTAAAACATTAAAAAATAATTCGAAAAGTGTAGATACTTTATTTATTTATGTATTTAACTGTTTACAGGATACAAAGTCCTATAACAAATTGTGTACCTACCTGCCTACTAAACAGTAGTGACGTAAACAGTAACATAATATGAACTAAGAAATATGGAACAAACTTACAAACGTAGCCTGTATAAAACAATCTATACAATTATGACCAAGGGCCTCAATATTAAAATTGCGAACTTCTAAATCATTAAACTAAATATAATTGAACATAAAGGAATACCTATACGCGTTTATGAATTAGCCGGAGAGTTTAATTGATAAGTTTTGCCGGAGGGGTGCGATAGGATTCCTAGTATTAAGGAAATTTATTTTAAAGCGGTTTGTATTATGTTTTCGAATTGATTCAAAACATAAAACTCTCGGTAGGGTTATGTATATACTCGTACATAATACAGGTATATTATTATTATTCCGTTTGTGAACAAACATGTGTGATGTCGACGATTAAAAGAAAACAATATCTCTCGAGACATTTAATATAATGGAAAGGTTTCTAAATTCGAACCACGAAGTAAAAAAAAAAAAAACAAAATTAAAAAACCAGGAGAAAATGAAAGCAGATCAACTGTTTTCGTATACGATATTATCCGGCGATCGAATAAAATCAACAAACGTATTAAACATAAAAATTTTTTTATTATTTTGATATTAAGGGGTTTCGCATAGGCAAGTTCAACGAAAATTATAAAAAAATATTTAAAATCACAATGCACATTATATAAAGTAGTCCTATGTCATTATCAAAAAAATTTATCATGAAATTTGTTTTGAGGACATGTTCACGCAAAACAAAAAAGGGACTAATACTTTTCAGTCTTTAGTTCAATTGTTCTAATAGTGATAGGAGGGAGGGGGATACTTATTTATTATTATTACTATAGAGTATTTTAATTTATATCTGTACGTAACAATAAATTATTGCTAAAGAAAAATGATTCTGAGTATTATTAGTTATATTTTTTTCTAACTGCCCTTGTAACTCTGAAATAAACAAAAATTTTCAATATTTCCCAAACTACAATGTAAATCAAAAAATAACCTCTTTAATACGGACAAAAAAAAAATGCTTTAAAAAAGTTCCTATAAAGTTTTTGATTGGAACAAGATTTCTGGTAGTAGAAAAGTTTACAGACCAAAATATAGACAGTGGTGACTAACCTTTTTTTACAGAGGACCATAAAAAAAAAAAAATAAATCTTGACGAGCATATTGTTCAGTATATCATTATGAGTATCAATCCGGATTGAAATTACCAATCCAGCTTATGAAGATCTAAAATAGGTAGTTAATTTTTAAATGCCGATCGGCCTGCTCGTATTGTTATTTATTATATACATATAATAGTATAATTTATAATTGAAATTTGAAATACACGTGTTTTCTATTGATGACGGTGTGCTGTGCTCGAAGAACGAGCACTATTATGTTCAATAGAAATTTGTATGATCAAATATTGAAAAAAGTATTGTAGGCGGGGACAAGCTAAAAGTCTAATTGGCGGTCTTTAAATGAAAGCATACAGTAAAAGTATTTATGTAAAATCATTGATTATAGAGGGAGTTTACTCGAGGGGTTTTCGTCGTGCGAGTGGGTCAACTTACGGTGAACAGAGTGAATAGAGTCACATTGAATTAGCAAAGCTTAAAACGAAAATTATGATTTTGATCGAACGCGTGTTCGTTCGTTGGTAAAAATTAAAATATCCAAAATCCAGTGAACGAACGCTTGTTCGTCCACTCGTTTTCGCCTCTATACTTATACCAGTACTCAGTACCGAGAAATCAATAAATTAATGTAGCTACGGCACTATATGAAAATGAATAATCGATTAAATAACGCTTGTGATATCTTACCGTGTACGGAAGACGTTTTAACGTTCTATGTGTAAACGCCCGGCTTTTGAAAAATAAAATAATTTGTCATAAACGCCGGTAATGGTAAATGGAGGGAAAATATAAACGCCTTCGACCAGAGCAATTTCAAATCTCGCATTGTCGGACCGCAGTACGACCGCCAACTCTAGAACATTTTGGAAATTTGCATAACGTTTATCACAGTTCATTACTTCTATTACTGGTGGACATCCACCCACCCGTACGCGACCGCACGGAGCTGCGCAGTTTTGAACGGGAAAATCTAATCAATTAGCGTGACCGTCAATGTGTTTGCCGTGCGCGCAACGCTCACGGCGACCGGCGACCGCGCCGACTGAAATTAATATCGTTTACGTTGCGCGGCGGAACAGACGAGTGGCGGCCCGTCGGCGTCGTGACGGGGGCCTTCACATGTTATTTTATAATACACGCACTTGTCGCCCACCCGTGCCATTATAATATTACGTGTGCAGTTTCCGTTTCCCGTCGTGAACGTCGCGACGCGTGGTGTTTCTGAAACGAATGGGTTTTTCACGCGTGTCGTTCCTTTTCGACTTTTAAAACACAACTGTCTAATGTTAAAACGTCGCCCTGGGAAAACTGGCGGTCGGGTGCAGCCACTGTTGTATTTAACAGTTATTTAATGTATACCTGTGAGCAACGATAAACTTTTGTTAACGAAACGAAAAAAAAAAAAAAACGATTCCGAGCGGAGTTCAGTCGACAGTGCTACTTTGCCAACAGTATAATGCACGCCATATTATGGTAAAATAATTAAATAGGCATTATACATTTTCTTTATATGCTATTTGTTTAATGTACCGGTGTTACCGTTTTCTCTACATTTTTCCCGGTTTTCCAATGTTTTTTTCCTGGTTTTTCACATTTGTTGAGGACTGTATTTCGTACATTTTCTAACCGGCATAGAAGTATATATTGTTTAATCTAACGTTTCGTTATCACAGTAGCCTCCATGTTATTATTATTAACTATTGCATTATTAATAAACTAAAGTATTTGAAGAGATATCTGTTTTTTTGTGATATGTTTTATATGTTTCTATGTTTTAGAATGGCATAATTTAATTCAAATTAATCATCATTAAATTTTATGATTAGTTGGATCGTTGATTGATTATAATAATGGGTATGATATTATACTTTACTACTCTGTTAATGTTTTTTTTTTAGATTATTTTTGAAATATTACCAAGTTTTACCAGTTTTCCCACACGGTTCCAAACAGCCAATTATACAAAACGCTGCAAAATATTCTGTAATATGGTCACATCTTAAAATTCTTAAGTTATTTAGAAATACGCGAGTAAAGAAAAACGAAATTGAATTTTCTAAAAATGGTGAACACCCATTAATAAACACAAATACAGACAAGTATTTAATTTAAATAAAACCATTCGTTGTTATCAAGTAGTATAATAAAATACGTAGTTGGGGATATTATTTTGAATTTATAAAACTATTATAATATGTCTGTATTTTACAATATACTATTCGTGTACCTAAAATATAACATTTTTTATGAAATAAACGAAAAAAATTGTTAATATGTTGCTGGAACAGGAAAAAACTAATATTTAAACACAACGTCATAAGGCTGACCATTTTCAGTTACTCGCGGAATTTTTAGACAATTTACATTTTCGGCAGCTTGCCTCTACATGGTTTTACAATAAAAGAAGGTACTATCGTTGTACTTTTAAGAAATGTCTAATGAATGGTACGAGATTTATTGTACGAAATATGTACGAAAATCGTTTAGACATATATGTCGTATAACTGGACAACGTACTTTATTACGCAGGATTGATTTGACCTCGGATTCTACACTTTTCACTTTTCATTTTTACAAGACATACATTTCCGATACGAATAGCATTTGCCATGACAAAAAAAAAAAACAAAACTCAGTGCCGAACGTTGGATGAAGTATGGTATTAACCTGCATTTAGTCATGGTCAACTATATGTTGCGGTGTCCCCAGTGAGATCTATTGAAAATAAAAATAACAGCAAACAATAATAGACACGCGGAGAAT